GACGGCGGCGCCTGACCGTTGTCGACACACTGAATCACTTGCCAGCGCCGCCAACACTACTCTAGCGACCGCCGTCGCAGCACGCGCTGAACGGACGGACGGACGGACGGACGGACGGTCGTCGAACTCTGAAAGTAGCCTGTAAGGGAAAAGAGCACTGCGCCCGTGAAACACGAGTGCGGTTCGACCTCGTCCGTGGTCGATATTTTGTCTACTCGCCAATCTTGGTAGTACAGTAATTTTTTTGGAACACCCCACCCTCAACATTTTGAGTCACCCATACACAGTCGTGGTCGTCCAATGAGTAACGAAAAAGAAATAAATTTGGTCAAGAGACTACTGTAGCTCGAAAGCTACGCAGTTGCACATGTTAATCAGGGTGCTCGTACATAACAACATTTGAATTGCTTGTTGCTATCTTTGAGTTGTGTGGCCTTGTTTGGAAGTGGTATACTTTATTAAAGTGCAAGAAGGTTTCTCTAGTGAAGAAGCGGAGTTTGACATAATTGTCGGAGGTTGAGATTGTCTGCACAAGTTTTTTTTTTGTAATTTTTACACACAGCAGCATACTTCTAAAATGTCTAGCAGGTATCAGTGTGACATTCTGGATGTTTCTCTTGAATGAATATGTTTGTGCTGCTTCCGGACTTCTAAGATGCTGAGGTGTTCGCTAAAATTCTATAATCTGAATTTTGGCTACAACTCTTTCGTACATCAGAAGCAAAAATGTATTAGTTCTTGGGCTCTCGTGCCATTATCAGAAATAGTTTCACTGGGTCATATTGAGAGTGTGAAAGGCAGAATATTTTTTCCTCGTTGCAGCTCTGATAATAGATATTTTACGATAATCGCGGGCTTCAAATCTAATTTTCGGTTGGTTGAGTTTCCAGATTGGCCCCTACACAAATGTCTGAAGGTGTCACAAAAAATGATTTGGCGGCATTCTTCGGAACAAAAACGTGGAATTCCGAGCAGAATTCACTGTGGAAGACTATGTCGGACCAAAATAACAAAGGTTATTTTCATTTCTCGTCCCGTTCTTCATTATATCAGAAATTGTGTGTCAAGTGTAAGACAGTATAATTCCAATAACTGATCTACTCTGGTTTCTTGAGTCTGACTTGCTTCGAAGTCGTGATTCACTGTTACGGAGTCGCGGTGTCACCAAGTCAGTTTTGCTGTGGAATTATAGTTGGTGGAAGGGAGGGGAGCTTTTCTCGTCTTTAACAATTTAACACTAGGCGCTAAAGCGNCAAGAAAGATAGCTGTGTTTGTTTGCCAGTGTTGGTGCCTCTATGCAGGAATAATATGCTAGCACGCTACCGCTCCCACTTTTGATAAGAAATTAATCAGTCATCAATGTTCAATTCTTCCCCATCCCAACTGTCTTCAATCACTCCGATGCTTCCCCTCCCGTGATTCTTATTTAGAAAACTATATTCCCTGGCTATAAAACGTTTCCAAACACGATTACAGGGCCGCATAGCCGGCAATCCCTCCTCTGTGCTCTAGCGTCTACTGTTGAGAAGGGATGCCTCACGTTCATTCTCCTCGATTACAAATTTATTTTCGCGAGCCGTATTATTTTTAGGTATGACGAGGGATTACTACGCAAAAACTAATCAATCGTTGGTGCGGAAAATTCGTCGGCTCGAGGTAATAATCGTACTTCATAATATGGTATGAATATTTGGTATGCTGTGATTCTGTCAAGTGTCAAGGAGGAGGGTTTTGGAATGTAGTGTGTGCTTGAATGCATCAAACACGGAGCTTGTACACCTCCGAGTCCGAGTTGTTCGGAAGTCCTGATCTGACTTTCGAACAATCGCATACCCCGCATAACCCTGCATTCTGCCGATCAGAAGTTTTCGAATTCTTTTCGGATTCGGTTCTTTCCAGGACGAACTTTCTCAAAATCGGAAACTTGTTGAAGAATTGCGAAATGAAAATGCGATGCTCAGAAAACGTTTGGCAGAAAGCGAAGATTTAGACAGTCCTGGAAGGATCGAGGCTCTGATCAATGAACGGATCAAGGTAATTATTATGTGGTTGCCTTCCCTATTTCGCCATGCCAGCCGCAGCTTTTCTTTCTACTCGGCATTTTCATAGTTTCCTCTCGTTTATGCATTAATTGCTTTTTCGGATGCGAATAGGGTGAGGCTTGACCACGGCTTTCAGAAAAAGATGGACAGACTGAATTTTATCAGCAGAAGAGCGATTGCAGTTTTGAATAGGAGCGCCTCCGAGTTGAAAAATGTTTTCGAGGACTTTGGGTGTGTTGCGTCTACTATTTTTCTTGGTTTTCAATTCCAAAGTTTATGTTACAATCAGCAAAATTTGCAGCGTAGAACTCCTGCCAGAGGCAAATGGCTTGTTCGAGGAAGATTGCGACAAGCAACTGAGGCTGTTATCAAACACCAAGCCTCCACTAGCTCCCGGTGAGCTTTCTTCATGTGTTATGTTAATTTGGAACTAAGAATAAATATGGTAATAAATAAACTAAAATATGGTAATAAATAAATAAACTATAATAATAAAAGAAATGCTAACTCCAATATGCATAAATTCTAGTTTCTGAATCGCCTCCACTCGTTACAAGGCAAGAAACGATCTGTGAACGAGTTGCAAATCGCGAAAATGAAATTGAAACTCCTGTGGTAAGTTGTTTTCTTATGTCACAATTCATTTTGAATTCCAAAAAATATATACCACATAAGAAGCCACTGTGAACACAGGTCTCTTTTATTTTACATTAATCAGTAATGTATAACCATAGGGACAGATTGCGGGTTCCTTCTGCGAGTTTGCTGGAGGAATCCTTACTATTGTATTGATTTTGAAGCTTTCGAGCGGCGAGGCACTGTATCAGGTGTCTTTCCAGTCAAGCGCCTCTTTAGATCTAATGTTTGAGATCTTTTTCTCATAGTGTTCCAAAGAAAGAGAGGTGATAATAATGTGTACATCAGTTAATGCTCCGCTCCATCTGTGGAGTGGCGGAAAAACGATACTTGAGCCTCACGCTATCGCATTTACCGAAAATATAGTTACCTTTGAACAGAGTCCGTTAACTGGTGGGAGAGGAAGAAAACCATTTATCACGGTCTACCCTCATTTCACGCCGTCTAGAACACACGACAGCATGGGTTTGGTAAGGATAAAATAAGTATTTCAATTCAGGCCACTCATATGGCTAAACGATCTCGTCGGAGTGAACTGTTTGGTCGATGTAACAACGCACGAACACAAGGTGATTTCATTGAATATAGTAGCCAAAAAGTACATGGATGAATCGCTTTCGAGTTCTCGACCTGCTTGTTGTTCAACATCTTTTTCGCCATACTGCTAGATCGAATTAAATGTGGAATCTTGTGAAACTAATTTATGAGGAGTTAAGGTTACGATGAAGACAGTTCCCCTCAGCAATGTGTTGATCTTCCCGAAAAGAGTGTTGATTCTGTGGCGACTCCTTTGGTATTGGTCAGACGAACAGGTCTGGATACACCAGCTGTCGAGTGGACGGAAACGGACACGGTATGAAGACTCTCAGTGATCATGACTTCATTTCCTTCAATTCCTCAAATTGTGCTGGTGGAGTATTTTAACCAGACAGGCTATAGTGTTCAATATCTGATTCAACCACCAGGATGAGTTGAATCGCTTCGAATTTCAAGTGCTCTATAGTGCGACGTCAACTTTGCAATAATGCGGACAGTACTTTTGCCTACTATATTGGTTCGCAGCCGATCAATATTAGTTCCCATTAAAGTGTCCTATGTTTGTGGGTAACATATGAAGGATATGTTCATTACTGCAACACTTTCCTTTCCTTTTGTTTATCTAATTTTTGCAGGTGAGACGAAAGCGGACGGCAACGCTGAAAATAAAAACCTTGGCTGAGCCGAAACTAAATTGCAAATTACGCAGACCTGGACCAAACGACGAACCGCATCCGTTTATTTTGCTGAAGAACAATAACTGAGGTAGAGGTGATGAGTCGTTTGAATCTCTCATCTCTTCTTTCGTTCCTGATCCTGATCTTTGTTTGGGGCGACCTTCTATATGGAAGAAACCTCACAGCTGAACTTCTTTCCCACTCCCAAAAAGGGCAAAAAAGAGGTTTCTAACGAGTTTATTGTTGGAGTTTCGACACATGTTTGTAAAAAAGGATTTTTCTTTAGGCTTTCCTAATTTCTTTCAAGTAAACTCTTGCACTGGTTTAAGCCGCAATTTAAACCTCCTTGGGTACCTCATAAACTCCAGTAAGTGTTTTATTTTCAGCGATTGGTCTTTCTTTCCTCGATACTTTTCATTCCATGTCCTCGCATCTCCATTCTATTATGATCATTCATATTGACTAGAATAACGTGTCGTTGCTTTGCATTGCTCTCTTGAGCTTTTTAATCTTTTCAGTTGTTATCATGGGATCGTTTCGCGAAATTTTATCAGGATTGTTTCTACCAATCCCTTTCTTGTATATCTAATCTCTCTAATTCGACACATATGACATTTTTCGATGGAATATCTACTCAGGGTGTTTTTTCTTATTATTATCCATGCATGTGACTAGCTCTTTGTAAAAATCTAGATATTCGTAATGTATAACATGTAGATTCGAACTTTGTCAAATAGATTTCATTTTTCCCTGTACAAAAATAAAGTTTCTTATCAAAGAAAGTTTGACTTCCCAACTGACGTTAACCTCGTTGTATATTGTAACACGCTTCCTTTATTAATTTACTTTGGTACTGGAATTTTTACAGCATATTGACCTGTTGTCAGTCCAGCCCATTATGGGCAACTGCTTCAGTCTGAAACACAAGGATAAGGGAATTGGAGGTATAAAAAAGCCTATTCTTATGACAGTATCACAGTCCCTTAAACACGTGGTTTCAGATCATCCAACAGTAACTAGATGGTTAGCCAGCTGTGATTTTTCGTCAGTGCCAGACGTCGATGATCTTCCTAGCGAAATCGCTGGAAAGACCTCTTCAGACTGCGTCGTATTCGATAGTGTTTTGGGAGCGGAACATATAGTAAGCTATGGTTATATTTTCAAAAAAAAACTGCGTTTGATACATATCTTGATCTTTAGATGGTCAGATAAGTCTTCATTATTTTCTAACATGTAAGGAAACTGTCTTCATATATGGAATCTAATGCACAATGCTTCTGCAGAGTTTTCAAGATGACTGCAGCGATAGTAGCTTACATGTTGGGAAGAGAATATATGCCTTGTTTTCATCTAATGCATCCGAAACCCTATGATCCCTTGAATTTGCAATAATTCTCTTTGTAGGAAGGTGATTGTGATGGTTATATTACCGCATTAGAGAATCTGGACAGCGAGGAAGGCGATGGGAGCGGCGACACTGTAGAAGAACTAGCGCAATCATCCTGTGATGACAATCCACAAGTCATTAAACAGCACCTTTTAAATAAGCTATTATAATTAATACTTACCCTTCTTTTAGCAAAACCTCTACGTTCAACTTGACGATGAGAGTGTCTATGAAACCTCTGATGAGCAGGGACCGAACGAAATCGAAAAGGCAGTTGAACTCCCTGTAAATTTTCATAAATTTGTGTCTTTCGATGTGTCGATTCTTGTTTGTCATACTATTCTGGTATGTTTTTTTTAGGAAAGCTTGTATGTCACTCAAGTAGAGGATGTGGACGGGGAAGAAGAGGATGATGTTGTTGACGAAATGGCTGAGGTTTGTTTGAATTCCCTTCATATTTAACAAAATTTTTATGCATTTGTTTACGATACTTTCTGGATGTTTTTTTGGGAAGCAACGTTTTGAATTACCGAAAGTTGTTCTTCATTTGATGTCTAGTTTAATTTTTACCCTCAATTGGCATGTAGCTCATTATCAGTGTTACTCGGCCGTCTTCCTGCCGGGTTTTCATCGCTAGGGCATCACCGACGACAACTCCATTCCACATTCTCGTTTTTGCTCGATTCATGCCCTCAGTGTTTTCCAGATAGTTCACTGTCTTGATTCATCTTACGGCCACCAATTTTTGTTCAGTATTAATTATTTATTTATGCTATGCTATATGCTTCGCTGGGCTTACCTGTTTCCTTTTCAAAAGATCTTTCTTGCTCATTCACTTGCCTTATCACTTGAAAGTCGGTTTTGCGCTATCTGTTTCTGATTGTCGACTTTACCAGGTCACTCAGCTAACTTGCATATGAGGTTCCCTCCCAATCAATTTTCAGAAGACTTCAGTGAATGCGTCGCTAGTGTCCCTTCAACATTGTATACTGCCTTAAGCTTAATTTAAAGAATTTTCTAGAGCCGGATGTTTTTGATAGGGAATTCCCTAGTCCTGCATTTGTGTCGAGCACCTTTTGGAGGTTAATATTGCCTGTTTAGTGGAAAATGAATTACGATGCCAGGCCGATTTGCCCGCTGCCTACTCCTTTACGAAAGGTAACGATCAGTTTATATAATTTTTTTTAAAAAAATTTGATCCGGCACTATAACCAAAGCTCAGTCTTTGGAAATATAGGTGCTATTAAGAATTGNATGAATAGCTAGTTGTGTTTGGAATTTACAGTTAGCTGAAACAGTTGATTAGTTCAAAAGGTTTGAGTGTCAAATGCCTATGCAGTCTCATTCCACTTGCCATTCCAGTGAAGAAACAAAATGAGTCACTGCGTGGCTATGTGCTATTGTAGTGGTTCAATGGAATTAATACAAATTTATATATTTACAAGGTGGTCATAATGAGTAAGAAAGTAATATAATAGAATGGGTAAATCAGCGTTCCGCCTTTGACGTTGCTAAAGGTACAGAGAATAAGTGGGTCCGCATTCTACCTGTAACAGCGTCAAAAACAGAAAGCAGGTTTGCTTTTACCTACTTCTCGCCCTTGTCCTTTACCGATGACCCATTCTGTAAATTTTTTCTCTGAATGGTTTGTTTTATCAAAGTCGAGCAAAATCATGTTCAAGATTTTCGATTCTGTTTGATTACCCTTCAAAAATTATTCACTTCCGACCGATTTTATTTTAGTTGCATATTTTTTTATCCGATATACCGAAAATATGGGGATGTTTAAGTGATTTCTTGTTATTCTGATGGTATCGGAGTAAATGAGTTGACAGCGCTGTGGAGTACGGACGGCGACCGCTATTACAGAAAAAGATTATGGTAGATTATTCTCATGGATACAAGTACACCAATGGCTCACTCTTGACGTTTTTAGAAGCAGAATGTGAACCCCCTACGCGGAATCTGCTTACTTCATACCATTTGAGGGCGGGGATTAGGTAGTCGTCTCAGACGATGAAAGGAAGATATCGGCAGGGATCGTCGCCGTAGACAACAATTTGTCCTGGTAATGAGTGAGTCCATTCATGAAAGCATTGAAGGCTCTCGAGGCGCATAACACATACTTTCTGCATAGCATTTTTTCGTTTAGCTGCCGAATACAACTTCTATATTGATTGCTTAGTTGTTGGACACGGCAACAAGCATTGAGAATTAAGCAGATTAGGCGTGCTTGAACGACGCAAAGACGTTGAACCCTTGTACGAATTGCAGTGATTGGTAACTATAAAGCGCAAGCGAAGGAGCTCGCCATCTCTCGTTGTGGCAGCACCATAAGAGGATACACGTGATTTCCCATGCACATCTCATGTGTCTATGCACATTCTTGGGTAGCAGGTCTTGTACTCCAATTCCCATACCAGTAATTACCGTAATAGCCACCGAAAACTTTATTTCTGCCCTTCAGGTTGCGCGGCCACTGGCGGTAGGATGCGGCGGGCACGGCACACCCTATCCGTTGAACGGCTTCGTTAACGGCTTATGCAATGCGCTTCAAGAAGTCCTACTACTATAGTGCCTAGCAGACACTACAAGCTATTGGGTTTAGATTGATTCATTTTTGCTACAGATATTCGAAGAATTTATTCGGTCTCGCTTCCTTCACAGTCGAGCGTCGAAAAAACTTGTACCTGTTTTCATTAATCTTGACGAGTTGCATCACATTCATGTTTTACCTTTCAATCTAGGTCTTCTCCTTTATCAGTTCAAAAAACAAAGTCTCCACACTTTGGTTCTAATTCATCACCGTGTACTCGTACGCATGGGGTAACTGCTATTCTGTGGTCAAGATAATGAGGTCACGCCGCAAGGAAAATCCCAATGTAGCAATTCAGTTACTTCGGCAGACTTCGTTTTGATCGAAGTAATAAACCGGTAAGAAATCATGGAATGTATCGAAGATCAGGACCATTTCATGTTCACGATAACAGATGTAAATCTCCAGTGAAATGAGTCGGGTGTCGCGTGTGCGGCTTCATCCCACCATCTCGCCGGTAGAATCGTAGCACACAATCTTTCGTATGTCTATCCTTGATAAAAAAATGTGCAAAAAGGAGTAGATTAAAGGCGACGAGCGGATTCGTCCTCCCTCCGTTGCTGGGCAAGACATGCAGAGATTGCTTCCACATCTATAGACACTCGAGCCATTTTGATTAAATACAGCTCTGTAGCTCTGTAACCCAAATTATGACTGCGCTCTGTAATGGGAAACTCCTCAAATGCGGTCAGATAACCGCGCTGGGAGGGCATTCAGGAGGTGAGCGATTACGTGCGTGATTTCTGCTATATTTCCATTATTCTCGCTTTTTGCCTTGTTTAATGATTTTGCGAGCGGACCCACGCTTCCGACAATAGGCCCTTTCAGAATTCAGCGTCAAGCGTCATTGAGGCATGAAGCTCAAACATGTTACTTTCTAAGCAGAAAATCACTGGTTTGCGCTCTATCTTGGAAGATGACAATCATACCGATCGTCTTGTCGTTTTGGTGTGTGCTCGTAGATTGGCATAAGGCGATTAGTCTGTTCCCGAACGAACACATGGTTTTACGCTCTTGAATATAATCGCTCACAGCTTTAAAGTATATCCATTCAGAATCTTGTTTCTCCTCGAATTGATCTCGAATCGCTAGTCGATCGCAAGGGAAGGGTCCGTCGGTCGGAACGGGTACAGCTCTACTTGGATGAAAAGCGACAGTTGTCACAGAGACTGTGATGGGAATATAAATTTGTCAGTTACCTCAGATTATCATATCATATTGATCACATTGGTTACTCGATCTTGCTTACAGTGTAGTTCGATTTGATTCTACACTTAGCTCATTGCTTTAATGGAGGTAGTTACTATCAAATTTAAAATTCAATGATCATTGTGTAGTGCATTTTTTATACAGAGGCGACAAGGGTCATGTGATTTGTTCTCTTGGTTGGAAAAGACGCTCGAAGAAGTTCTCTGAAGTGTAAGCAGAGCTACGAGAGGCTTTAGCTTATTAACAAGACTCTCGCTTCGCGGTAGTCATTTAGTGATTTAGCACTGCAATTTTTCAGAGGTCTTGTTTTCCAAAATGATAGCAAAGCATGCGATCTTGAGCCTGAATAACTCATGTTCTGAAGTTGATATTACCTAATTCATGTGATGTCATTTGCTTCTGATATTCGCTTATATGCTCGGTCTCCCTCTTATTATTGCTTGTACATACTTAGTGTTATGCTCAGAATAATTTGTTTGTCTTTCTTATGTTCAGTGCTTTATCGTTAACTTAGATACTTTATGTCTAGATGATATAAAGATTATGCAAAAGTTGAAAAGTNAGGGCGAGAGACCAGGGTAGAGGTCATTCATGGTCGTAACCATGACAGAACAAAAAAGAAACCACCTGTAGGAGTCGGACTGGCAGCGCATGACAGCCTTGTCGTCGCAATCGTTTATAACCTATCCGTGTAAATGTCCTTCAAGGAAGCAGTAGGTACTACTATCTCTGACTCGTCTCCTCCAATGCCACGTCTTCTTCTTCGACTGAATGTGTTTCCTCAGATCGCCAGTCTCGGCTAAGGCAGTCGAATTAGACGTGAACACTCCATTCCAGCTGTTTGACTATAATTTCCGCAGGCCGCACTCAGGCAATTTTTCCGGTTTCATTTTTTCACTCATTTTGAGAGTAGTTTGTCATTGTAAAGAAGGTAAACGGGAACTTCGAGAAGACAGTTCAACATTCATTTTTTCATGAAAGGCTTTTCGTCTTCTGCATGAGAGGGGTCCCCTCTGAATCCTACCACTGGCCTCGAGCGGCGAGGGGGCGAAATCCGGCTAACAGTGGAGGTAATCACCGCCTCAACAGGCTAACTACCCGAGAATCGGTATAACAGCTTCAAAACGCACAACGAGGGTCCAGAGCGGCGCAGATAGAAGTACGAGCTCTAAGCGTATTGGAGCAAACGGTGACTTGAAGGGATCTGTAGATAAAGGGACGGAAAGCCTTCGAAGCATGGAAACTACCTTCGATTTTGCACCCAGAACTACCATTATCTAGAGGCAGACCAACTATCTTGGATTAGAACAGCAAGAAGCTTCTCTTCGACGCCATTGCCCTACAAGAGACGAAAACTAAGGAAAAAGCTAACAAAAAGACCTACGACGGCCACTTATTCGTTCTAGGAGCGGAAGTTGATGGAATAAACGTCGGCGGCGTCGGATTCATAGTCCATCGTCGGATTGAACATCTGGTCGACTCAACCGAGGTACTCGGCCCGCGGTTTACCATTCATTCATCGACAAGCGCACCACCGTCAGCATAATTGACTGCTGTACGCCAACGTCAATAGCAACCGACAGGGAAAAGGACGCCTTTCATAAGGAACCGGAGGAGGTTGCAAAGAACGAGCGTTCATACTACAAGTATGTTGTTGGAGACTTCAACGCAATCATCCTCGAGGAAACACCGGCGAGATCACGCACTGGACCACATGGAAGCGGAGAAACGAGCGAAAAGGGAGAACGATTGATGGACCTTTCAGATGCATGCAACCTATTCCATGGGAACAGCTTCTTCGTGAAAAACGAGGGACGACGTCGGACATGGGAGAGCCCCATTCAGCGGCTCGCAGCGAAATCAACCACGTTCTCACCAACAGAAAGTGGAGTTTGCTAGACGTCAGTGTGTGAGATGCGCTCCGCACCGGGAGCGAGGCTCGTTAGAGCCGAAGTCCGCCTGCGAGCGAAATTTGAAGACGTGATCACTTCCGGCCTCCTCCCATACGACTACCGCGGTATGACACAAGCGCCATGGAGGTGGCCGCTGCTCAATACACGTGGCAGGAGGGACAGGAGAGAGGAGGAGACTTGTCACAAGGTTACGACCTGCTTGTAAATAGACTTCTACACTGCGCAACGGCAAGGATGAACTCGAGGAGCAGGATCGATGGAAATGCTCGTACTCTTCACCAACAACGGGCTGCCGTTTACCGTAACTCTGTATCTACACTTCTGGAACGTGCTTCAATCAGTAAAGCGTGTCGCATCGCTGTGAGAGAGTCGACACTGCGATACAAAGATATTCGACTGAAGTAAGCAGTAGAGGCGAGTGCGAGCCTTAAGCGATGTCGTAAGGACCTTCATGACTCTCGTTCGGTCGCCACCGTTATGAGGGACGAGACGGGCAGGCCGCATACTCCGAGAACGAAAATCGAGGCACGAACCTCTTCCGCTCAGATACCGGTTTCCCGTATTCCCATAACACAAGCGGTGGCTTCGCGGATAGAAGAATGGGAGGTAGAACGCGCCGTACGTCAGATGAAGCCAAGAAAGGTACCTGGACCAAACCGCATCTTAGCGCACTTATTGTAGTCGGCGTCCTACACTATCATCAAACAGCTCACCAAGCGCTATAACAAGTACCTGGACGCTCAGAGGATTCCGGACCGGTGGAAGATGACAAATACGGTTCTTTTGTTAAAGAAAGGCGAGCACGACCAAATGAAAAACTGGCCAGCCAATTGCGCTTCTCTAGCAGCCGAATGCGCTTCGTTGCGCGCGTCCGTCGAATCTAGGTCACGCCGCAGCCGTCGCATGCGGCGAGTCAGCCCGCGAATCCTGACGAACGTTACAGTTGCCAATGGGGCATACGATTTGTGCTTGGTCCACAGCCGTCGGCCAAAGAGAAGATAACACGGACAAATGCTAATCATCCGCTCCACTGACACTTGGAGGTACGGTAATGTCATCTCGAGACCTCAGTAGCGTGTGCCGCGCGCGAAGTGCGCGGGGTGACCTACTTTCGACGGATGCGCGCAACAGACGTTCCCCCTCGCAACCATACAGGCTATTTACTAAGATTATTGTAAACAGACTCGAGAGGCTATTGGACGGCTAACAACCAGTCGAATAGGCCCTGATTCTGCAAACGCTTCTGCTGTATGGATCATTTCAACACTATCGCGCAGCTGTTAGAGAGGAAGCCATGGAATACAAACAACCACTATTTCTCTGCTTTATTGACTGCGATGGCATTTGACAGTGTGGAGCTCAACTCTGTCTGGAAGCATTGCACCATGCTGGAGTCGACCCATGTACGAACCATGCTAGAACAATGCAATACAGACACGTTTACCACCATCCGCACGTTCCAACGAAAGTTGCGCATGCCGGTTGAGAAAGGAGTCAGGCAGGGTGACAAATCTCCCAAACTATTTGCCACCACACTCAACCTTGCGATGCTGCAGCTGGACTGGGACGATAGAGGCATCAACATCGACGGCAAGAAATTATCCAACTTGCTCTTCGCAGACGATATCATCCTTATCAGCCAAAACCGAGAGGAGCTGCATCAGATGGTGGAGGAGTTAGACGACGTCAAAAAAGTCGTTGACTTCACGATGAACATAAGCAAGACAATGATCATGCGAAACGAATGGGCGGATGTGTCACCCACCACACTTAGAGGAACCACGCTTTCGTTCATCGACTCATGTGGGTACCTCGGCTGGCTCATCTCCACGGACAACAACTTGCGTGAGAGTTGATGAGGCGCAGAAGCGGCAATCGAAAAGTAAAGGAAGCGACTCGCCCATATCGGACAAGAAAATACGAGCTGACCTTTTCGTCTCTACGTTATTGCCCACACTCTGTTACGCATCCGAGGTGTGGGCGGAGAACAAACGTCAAAGCTAATGTTGATTTGCGCACAAAGAGTTTTGTAGCGGACGCTGCTGAAGATCGACCGCGCAACGCAGAGAAGTCTCAAACTCCGCAGCGCAGACATGCGCTCAATGTCCGACATCCGTGACGCCGAGATGCATGCGTGGAACGCAATGAAACGATGGGCAGGACAGTGGTCTTACGCATGGGCGACAGGTGGACCATTCGCGTTTCATCCTGCTACTCACGTGAGGTTAAACGCAGACTTGGCCGCCCTGCAGCGAGATGGAGTGACTCACTGAAGGAATTCCAGGGAAATGTTGGCCAACATTGGTTCCAAGCCGCATAAGGTCGTCGAAATGGAGGGAAGCATGTGCTCGCCGCTGAGGACTATCAGCCGACAACGAGCGTCCAAGTATCCAAGTAAGTCGGTAATATGAGGGATTATGCTTCAACATATATGTACTTGATGAGACAAAACGTTTTAACTACCTTTTAATATCAAGAATGCCAAGAGATCTCAGATCCCTTCTTTCTCAGACACAAACACACAGCAGACACACTGAGCGCGTTAAATATAGTAGCAAGATTCCTTCCTTGCTCATGAACCTTCAGCTTCAAGTATGGCACATTCTCGTCTGCGGTAGCCTTGCCTAAAATGTGCCCGATCGATGCATTCTACATCGAATTAGTGCCAAATGGTATTTTGTGAAGTTGCTTAAAAAGATGGATTTGCTCATGCCGTCGTCACTCGTTGTGCCGAAGTTAGGTCGATTACGCGCGGTCTTGGTCATTTGAGAGAATCACATATGGAAAAATGAAAGGCACGAGTAATCGGAGCCGCGGCGTTTCCCTGTGAACGTACGAGGGAGAGTGGCGTAACAGTGGAGAGAGTCGAACTCTTCTGGTCATGGATCGTGATACTTGTTTTGTCGCGTTGTTATCACTGTGTTGGGAAACTGCCGAGTTTCGTAAGTAAAGGGGGCTGGGGGAGGGGTAGGAAGCTAGCGATTGTCATCCATCCTGAGAAAAATCTCAAATACCTTAAATTTGCTTTATACGCGTACAAGTCGCGGGAAGGG